TCTAGAAAGAGTACAGAGAAGAGCAACAAAGATGATTAGGAAACTGGAGGTTAAAACATATGAAGAACGATTGAGGAACTGGGTATATCTAATTTAATGAAAAGAAGGACTAGGGATGACATTATAGCAGTGTTCTGATATCTCAGGGGTTGCCACAAAGAAGAGGGAGTCAAACTATTCTCCAAAGCACCTGAGGGCAGGACAAGAAGCAATGGGTGAAAAGTAATCAAGGAGAGAAGAACTTAGAACTAAGGAGAAATTTCCTGACGGTTAGAACTGGAATGGAACAATTTGCCTCCTAAAGTTGTGAATGCTCCAACACTGGACATTTTAAAGAAGAGATTAGATAGCCATTTGTCTGAAATGGTGTAGGGTTTCCTGCCTGAGCAGGGAGTTGGACTAGAAGACCTCCAAGGTCCTTTCCAACTCTGTTATTCTAACTTCTAATGATGAAAAATAACTATTTGTTATTTTCTTCTCCATCGCTACTCAAAGCTACTCTGCTGAGAATGCTCTTCTTTCAAAGAACCTTCAGTTCGTATCCTGAAATGATTCAGTTTGCCCTTCCTTTGGCATTGGAGGGTCGCCCCTTTGCCCCCACCTCCTTTTCGGAGGTTTTCTATAAGGAGAATCCAAACAAAGCAACTCCCACCTTCGCTCTTCTTGGTGTGTTTTACTTGGGAGACAATGCTTTGCTAAACTCTTGTGTGTCCAGTTACTTGAGGTTGCTTTAGCATTGGGTGTTTGGTTTTTTTTGCATGTGCAGGCACCTATCTCATCCTGAATCATACTTCAAAGAGAACCTGGTGAGCAGACTTAGCTGCAAAGGACAGCTGGCATGTCTCCTCTGTATGCATTTGGAGTGCTGAAAACCCTCTCACACCCCCCACCCCATGTTCAAAAGGTTTTGTTTTCTTTGTTACCAGCTATCATGTGATGCAAACACTGCCTGCAGCAGTTGATTGACTAAGCTGGTGCTGTCACACCGAAAACAAAGAAGGGGCTTTGCAGTGATAGGGAACTGGCTCATATAGCACAAAAGAGTAGCAACGGCATATATAAACAAACAAAGGCACCCCCCCCACCCCACCCCGCCTTCCTTTCATTAATTGGATTCAAGCAGGGAAAGATTTTAAAATGTTTCTGGGTTGAGATGGAAATTGGGAGCTAATTTTAATTCTTGAGGGCCTTTATCCCCCGCTCCCATGTTTATTGGACTCAGTGCAAGAACTCAGAAAACCTTTCCACTAGGTCTTCAGGAGTGGTTAGAGTGACATTAGATTGGTACAAAGGAGAAGGTATTTGGGAGAAGCTTCGTGTCTAAAGAAGGTTTAAAAAAAAGCAAAGAAGTCTCAGAAAAATTCTAGGATGTTCTGGGAATTCCTTAGACACTTGAAGTATCCTTCATTGGATTTCTGGTTAGACATTAATCTTTTGGGGAACACATTGAAGTTTTCAATAATAACAAAACCAACTTTTAAAAAAAGGAAAAGAAAAGGTCGAGCACAGCTACCACATAATATTCTTGATCTTAAAGCTTTGTCCTGTCTTGGAAATGGATTCTCTGTTTCCTTCTATTGTGGGAAGTTATCACCCAGCCCTCTCCCAGAAAAATGAAATATCCTAGGAACTACTGAAAAGGCAGAATATTTATCTGGATGTGAAAAGAAAGA